TCGTACTTATTAAAAAGTTTGGCTCAATGTTTGTAAGTTTCAATTGCGAAAAAAATATTATTGGGTATTTTTAGCTTTATTTTAATATTACATTTGAATGAATCATATGGCAGTTTCAACGATTTAAAAGCAAGGGTTATTTTTACAATAATATATTTTTTAGAAAAAAAAGAATGATGTCTTAACTATATTTCTCGTGTAAAATATCTTGCTCAGTAGAGCATCGCTTTATATTGTATAATCCGGGGTAATTGAAAAAAAAAACACAAAGCCACGAAGACATATCATTTTCCCGAGACGCAAAAAGTTAGATGAAAAGCCATTTTTCTCAAAAAGAGCGTACACTAAATAGAAGTCAGTTTAATAGTCACAACGTATTAAAAGAATAGAGTTAGGTAATATTAAAAAGGTACTGAAGGGACAATGTAATTGTAAGTTATCCAGTTTCAATCATTTTTAAACATTATGCTGGTTTTTTTTTCAAATAAATAAATAATTATGCTCGGTTTTATTTCTACAGAAATTCCCAAGTAAGGCTTTCAATTTAAAGTAACATCTCCTTGTAATAAGCGGAATTTGTATTAACCTTTTTTGTAAAAATATAATCTTTCAACCCTTATTATGTTTGTGTTGTGTATCATGCATGTAATTTGTATATAAGGTATTATAACGCAAAATTATTTTATCAAAAAAATCATCTGTGCCAAACATGACAAAATATTGTAAGACTAAAATCAATAATTGTACTGGTGCACAACATGTACACACCTCAAATCATTTGCAATTATTTTTAGTCAGAAATAATATGACAATAAATGTTAGAAATACTTTCTTTCGTAAATGTTCCACCTGTTTCACATGAACAAGCTTGTTAAAAAATTATGTTTAAATATTAAGTTAAACTTCTTTAAATTTCGTCAAATTACGTGGCTTCGTCATTGATGCTCTTATTCAAATGAATATATATCTTCTTAAGAAAGAAATATTGTTTGAATTCGGTTTGCTGAAAATGACGTCTTTAAGTTGGTAAGCCACGCACAGGAATGTATCAAAATTGTTTCAAATGTAGTTTGTCCACTCAAAAGATAGAAAACAAGACGTCCATGATCAACATCGCTCAACTGAGCACAGTAGCTAGGAAACAACAAATATCAATTCAGTAGGGAAAACCTTAAATGCATAAGTGGTCCTGACCTACCCCTTAAAGGCGGAGGGGTTTCAAATACCTAAAATCTACACTAACTAACAATGCTTAAATATTTCTTTGACTTTCGGTTTGTTTATATTATATAATTTTGACCTTTCATTGTGGCCTTTGCCTACCCCCAGGGGTAATGATTTGAACAAACTTGAATCTACACTTCTCGAAGATGCTTGCATTAAAATATTACCAATCATGGCTTTGTTCGTCAGAAGATTCTTCAAAGATTTTCCCTAGATATTCCCTTGTAAAACTTTGATCGTCATCCTACCCACAGGAGTCATGATTTGAAAGAAAAAAAAGCCTTGAATCTATACTTCATTAGGATGCTTCCACATTAGTGTCATCTTTCCCGAAACAGTGGTTTTTGAAAAGAAGATTTTTAAACACGCCACCATTTTTTTACTATTACTTAATTATCTAATTAATAATTACTCATTTTATGATGAACTAACAACCAAGTTATATGATAAACGTGAAGACTTTAACTTTTTCTTTCGCCAACTTCCCTTACTTTTACAGCAATATATCTCCCTCATCTGCATACGGAGTGTATATATCTCAGTTGATTCGATACACAAGAGCATGCTCTACGTATGAGCAATTGGTAAAACAAGGTAAATTATTGACAAGCAAGTTAATGAGAAACGAATATCAACCTTCTCGTTTAAAGTCATCATTTCGTAAGTTCTACAATTTATCATTAAGTCAAATGCTGACTGATGTTTTTCATTACGATTGTTAGTCCGTTATTTATACACTGATTGGCAACGGATTTCCCGATATTTAACGATAATGACAATGAGAACACGGCTGGTGTAACCGGTCGGCAGGGGAAGCTCACTCCTCCATGGCATCTGATCCCATGGCTGATGTTTCGGAGGTCCGTGTTTGCTCTGCTCCTATTTTGTATTGTTTTACGGACTTCGATATTGACTATTGTATGTTGCCTCCATATCCTTCTTGTTTCTTAAGAGTCATTAAGGAAATTAAAAGACATTTTAATGTTAAGGTTCTAAATTTTATCTTATTTTTTGAATTGAAATAACCTTTTGAGAGAAAACTACGATTTTGTTACACATTGAGTGCTCATTAGAGTATTGCAGTTTGTTTGTTAGACCGTTTAGTGTAATGGCGTTTTGAAACGCTTGTATTCGAAAATATAAATTTCTTGCACAAAAGCGTCAGTGTAATTCTGAAAAAAAAATTGTAAAAAGTAATACAAAAATTGCTTTTAAAACAACCCTTCCGCTAGAAAATGTTATTTAATGTTTCAATGTTTCAAAATTAGCATGAATTATATGGAGATATAAACGAACATATAGAAATTGTTTATACCCATGGGTACAAATTGCGTTCCGTTATTAGCAAACTTATTTTTTATATTCATATGAAGCAGAATTTATGCAAATGCTTATATCTGAGACGAAGAAAACACTTGCTGTGGCCTTCAACTCGACATTTAGATATATCGACGACGTATTGTCAATTAATAATGATAATTTTCATTCCTACGTCGATACGGTATATCTTGGTGAGCTTGAGATAAAAGATACCAGAGAGTCTGACACTTCTGCTTCATATTTGGATATTTTACTTGAAAAAGACACTAATGGTAATCTAACGACCAAGCTATATGATAAACGTTATGACTTTAACTTTTCTATCGCCAACTTCCCCTAATTATGCAGCAATATACCTTCATACGGAGTATATATATCTCAGTCGATTCGATACGCAAGGACATGCTCTACGTATGAACAATTTCTAAAACGAGGTAAACTATTGACAAGCAAGTTGAAGAAACAAGAATATCAGCAGTCTCGTTTAAAATCATCATTTCGTAAGTTCTATGGTCGATACAATTTATCATTGAGTCAAATGCTGACTGACGTTTTATTTACCAATTGTACGTTCGTTATTTATACACTGAATAGTGTTTTCCGTTATTACCTGATCATGACAACAAGCACACGGCGGGTGTGACCGGTCGGCAGGGAATGCTCACTCCTCCATGGCACCTGATCCCACCTCTGATGTTTCAGAGGTCCGTGTTTGCTCTGCTCTGATTTTGTATATTGTTTAATGGACTTTGAGATTGAATACTGTTCGTTACCTCCATATCCTTCTTATACGTAGATCATGCACTTCTCTGTCGAGTCATTTCAGTTCAAATCTTTTTGTACATAGTGCTGGCATCTTTCAAACAAGCATTCTGAGAGTATTGCAGACGCAGTACATGTCCCTTATCGAGTTCCCTTTTTTTCTTTTGGATGTCACTCTGGAGTATGCGAAATTTACGTCTTTTCTTATATTATATTTACCATGTTTACCTTTGGAAATTAGCACATCATTAACCCGATCTTAAACCATTATGAAAAATTAAAAAAAAATGCCATATCTCTGTCTAAAATCAATGAAGCGAATTTCAAACTTGTTCTGTAACTCATCAAGATACATTTACCTACCAAAGTTCAGCTCAATATATGCAAGCGTTTTAAAAAAATGCGGAAAACCAAGGATAGACTGAGAACCATAGTCCCCTCCGGTTTCTCCGGAAGGGGACTAATAAACAATGATAATCATTTTTTTCGATATGTATTTCCACAGAAATTCCCCAATAATGATTACATATGATCATTTTGATGAATCGAAGAAGTAAGACCTTTAATATATTTTTGTGTGAAATGCTATTAAAAAGTCGTAATATTATATAGAAAATATTAACTTTAAATAAGTGTCCATGCACCTTTATGCAAGTAAACCTGAGAATATTATGGAGAATGCACAGCGTTCATTATCATATGAAATCAGATAACATACAAACCATGAATGACTTGTTTAAGGTTTCGTTTTTTTCTCCAGTCTTCTATTGTCAGTTTATATTTAAATCACTGGAACAACTTTTGTAACAAAATTCAGCAAATGTATGAAGGGGATGGCGTCTAATATCTAACTTTTTTTCCACACTAAATTGATTTTTTAATAAAACAGGAAACTACGATTCTTGTCTCAGTAGAACAGGGTTGTTTATTGTGTAGTAGTGTTCACATGCACTTGCATTAGAATAAACTTTGGTGCATTTAAAGTACTCTGTCTTTCTAAAGGTTTGCTGAAGCAGTTGTGAGCATTTACACATAATGGCATTGTTTTGACAAAAGAATATTTATTGTTATCCGGGCTATGTCTACTGAAATGAAATTCCATTATTTAGCACTTTTAATATCACAAATGCATAATAAAAAGTAATTTTAAGTTACACATTGAATTATTATACAAACATTACATTGATGGAAATCTCTTTGATCTTCTGAAAAAGATAATGAACATCAAATGGCTTTTACAAGTTACTAACTAAATTACTAAGATATCAACAGCAGTGAGGGAGAAACTTCAAGTGTACTGGTAAATGACTATATAAGTAAACTTATGAGTTTCACTTTTATTTAGGATTTCAATCCCTAATGAGACCAAATTCTCTACCCTTAAATGTCCATCAAGTACACAATACTCTGATATTATATTAAAGCATTTTAAAGTGGAAAAGGATTGCCCACGAGAAATTTTCAAAAAGATCATTAATTAAGGAGTAGTTAACTAACAGAGATTGCATTGAAGTCTATGGGGAAAAGCATTTTTTCAAAATAAAAATTCAAATAATTTGAATATCAATAAATCCTGTGGTGGAAAGATGCATTGAAATATTAAAAATAGAATGATAATTGAAAATAATTTTTTTACCAGCTAAATTTTTTTCAATGATTTTTTTTTTATTAATTAAAAAAGAAGGGGAGATAACTCTTACCAAAATTCAAGGTCATGAATTAGGACACATCCCACTAAACATAATTATAGTAATGAATGGGAAGTATGTCTAAATAAACTGAGTATTGAATGCCTACATATCTTTTATGTTTTCGATTTCATTGAATTTCTTCCTATTAGGGATTGAAGACCTTAAAAAAATCAGTTGTCAATGATATCAATGAGCCTGGACTTTAATTCACCGTGGGGAATGGTTGTGTATAAAGTTGAAAAGTGGTAAGATTTTAAGGGGGCCGACTATAGTTTCCATTGTGCAATATTTCGCGCATCATAGTAAAATGACGCGTATTTACTGTTTTAATGCAACTTTTTTTGCTTAATTATTTAAATTAAACAAAATTAAGAAATTATAGGTATAAAAATGTAATTACAATTTGATATAACTGATTTTTTAACCAATTTGCAAATGATAGGTAGGTTGACGTCGATGCAGTGTGTTTTTGACGTTATGATAATCTGTAGGTCTTAAAGAAAGGGGTAATAAAAATATTATTAAAGAAGAAGTAATAAACATACGCTCTTGAAATTTAAAGCATAAAAATTTTAAAATATCTCCAATATTTTTATTATGTTTTCATGTGAATCCATTGTGTACGTCATATTTTGTAATAATCTATAAAAATAGTAAAATTTGCCAATTTTTTTGCATTTTGAGATGCCCCCTCTGGTAACAAGACGGTAGAATTTGGTGTCTCTTACATATATTGTATAATATCGTATTACTCATCAAATATAATAGTTTGAACAAAATGTCTATTGTAGTATTTGTATAATTTGCTTTAAAGTGCTAAAAATTGGCATTTTCCTATATAATCCTATAGTAAAATACCTGTATTTTGAGACGGACCCTCAAAAATACCTGGACGGTAGATTTCCCCCAAACTTTGCAAGTACACTGAAGTTATTGTAAGTTATATATGGTATAAAAATGAAGAGTTTCGCTATTGTAGTTTTCACACAATAAAACTATAGTCGGCCCCCTTAAGCCGTTAATTTTGGTAAAGTCTTGTGATGTCAAATTGTCCATAAGTTCTTTGGAATATTTGAGTATCCACATCTGATTCACACCACTCCTTGAATATATTGTTGCATAGTACTCTTTCCTTCACTAAGGTCAATATCTTAGTGTTGAGCACTTTTCTTTGTACAGAGATGGTTTTACATAACTTTTTTTACAAACCGAAATTAATTACCCCGTGAAAATGTTAACCTTTTCACATTTTCATTAAGGCATATTTTCTAATTATTAACGCCACGTGGTGACCTGGTAGCATAGTGCTTCCTGTAGTATAATGCCCATTGAAGTCTACAGAATGCATAATGATAACAAAAGTTTTATCCACGACTCATCAATTTTGTAGTGTTAAATATTAATGTTAAATTGCCGAATTCTGATCTGTGTGCTGCCTTAAAGAATTTGCTTGGGCTCATCACTGTAAAATATACCAAACTTGTACACAATACAATTAATACAATGTGTAAAATTAATCAAATACAATATATCGATAATAATTAAATAATGGCACTAAACAAAGGTTTTACAGTGGTATTATTAGCCTTAAATCTTACATTTGTAAATAATATTATATTTAATGATCAAATGCATTGTTCCCTGTAAAAAAATAACTTAAACTTCCTTTCACAGCTCATAAAATGAGTCATGTTGACAAGCTTAATGCGATCAGTGATTCGTTTATAATCTGCTGTATGGGGTGTAGTTATGCGTTGATAAGTTTTGTTGCTGTTTATCATTATTATACAGTCTAAATTGGCAAAGTATTTAATTTCTGGTATTATGGGGACTTTTATCATGTGGTGTCACAGTAAATATTTCCCGTATAAAAAAGGCCCCGCCCTCTTTATTCAGTCTTTACAATTCTGCGTATCTTCACCTTATTTTAGAAGTCAAAAATCTTTATATACTGTACAGGTGGAAAATAACTCGCAGTGTTAATATTCGCTATTTTCATGGTGTTAATAAATCAGTGAATTCAAGAAACAGTGAATAGGTTTAAGGGAGGAAACTTTTAATGTATATCAATTCCGCGAATTCAAAAAACCGTGATTGTGCCAAAGAAGAGAAAAACGTGAAAATTACAACCCATGAAATTAATCCCCTTTACAGTAAATAAATGTGATGTCAGAAACCCTTTGATTCTTGCACAACGTAACGTTTATTCGTTAAAATATTGCATCAAAGTATATATAGACCAAAATAAAATTTATAACAAAGTCTTAATAGAAAGGAGCATTTGTATGTTGTAAGTTCTTTGATACCTTTTGATTCTTAAAGATATATAGCACGGTGTTAAAGTCTAAATCATAATATATGGGTGAATGACAATCTGTTATAAAGTTGACTATATGAAAATATGTGTGTTCGGAAATATGGTTTTTGTCAGTAATTTGAAATAATTATAAGACTTATTTTTTGATACTTAAGGTTGTAATCCTTTCATGGCGCGGATAAGTACCTAAAATCATTTCATCAAACATATTAAGGCCAGCCACATCATGTCTTTATCCAAGTGCTATATCTCTACACCAGAAACAACAAACACTGCTCGACTGGCGAGACTTATACTGGGTCCATGTACTGATGTGTTACGTGACGTTCTAAAGACAGAAGTGAAACCATCTGATTTGTCCAGAAAGGTTAAAGAATTTACAGATAAACTGCCACGTGGACAAAGAAATCCACTCAATAAAATACAGTCAGAGATTATTTTCCCCAAAGCAACGAATCAATACAGTGGTGATTATTCAGACTTAGACATATCGTTATTATATTTACTTCTACGCAATGTGAGTAAGATAGCACCACATTCCAAAGGTTGGGGAGAGATTCCGAATCCCGCAGACAGAAGTGTTGCAGCCAACATTGAAAGAATTCGCCTCATTAGGAATCAGTATTACGGACATTCAGCTGATCCGTCCCTGTCCGGCTCAGAATTTAGACAGGAATGGCGGAACATCCGGGACATTGTAGTGGAGCTAGAGCGACACCTTGGAGCAACCACGGTTTATCAGGATGCTGTCACCACGATAAAAACCTGCTCCATGGACCCAGAACAAGAGAAAAAATACATAGATTTACTTGGAGATATCAGAGAACTTCATACAACTGTGAATAATATATCGAGTAAGGAAGGCGTTATATCATTTCTTGAATAACTTTAAAAATATTGCAACATGTTCCTATAGTAAAGATAGAACATACAATATTGTAATATGTAGAAATTGCAAAAAAAAGACAGGAAGAGAGATAGAGAGAGAGAGAAATAACGAAAAATACGCTCTTATAAGTCTTGTTATAAATAGTCTTTGTTTATATTTGCAGATAAAATGCAGATTATTCAGGATTCAGCGCTCCAATATGGTAAATATCACAATAATAGTCAATACTATATAATTCCGTTTTTATGTAGATTTTCATCGAATATAAGAGGAAATATATATCGAAATGACGAGCAGTATTTAAAATGTAATCTCAAAGTCCATAAAACAATACAAAATAAATACAGAGCAAACACGGACCTCAGAAACATCAAATGTGGGATCAGATGCCATGGAGGATTGAGCATTGTGTTTCTATAATCAACCTTGCAAATTAAAAAAAAAGCACACACAACCCTACAAACATCAGAAACACTTACGTATGATCTCCCACCCAAAAAACACACACAAACAGACGTTTCATGCACAATTGCTATATACTGTAAGTCGTTTTAATTCCACGGTGTTAAAATTTCACGATTTCTCAAAAAGTTCCAATTGCGATAGTTTTAATTTCACGCTGTAAGAAAATTTCTCACAAACATTTAAACGTTTTAATAGCTAATGATAGCTTTCACGACGGGTTTAATTTCCCCAAAAAATGATGAATCGCGAACATAGCGAAATTAAAACCATCGCGATTATTTGCCAATTTACAGTACATAGTGTAAAAAATCAGCATATATTCTATATGATAAATTTATTTTTCCAAAAAAGATATCACTGATCTCAATTTGAACATGAATCTAGTCTATAAGACACACACACACACACACACACACACCCACACACACACACACACACACACACACACACACACACACACACAAACACCAGGGTTCTCCATCATTTTAAATTTAACTGTGGCTCAAGATTGTGCAAAGTATTAATATTCGCTGTCATTTCACGACCAATTCTCAAAGGAATTCCAAATTCATATGAAAAACGCATTTTAATTGTGCACCTTTGAATCAATATTCAAATAAAAATAGCATTAAAAATTTATTTGGCAAAACGTTTGATGAAGTTAAGAATAATAATAAAAACTAGATAAGATCTCGTTGCGAGCATCGAATAGGTCTACCGTCCGAATTTTCCATTAGACGAGATATGATTTTGACTATGATCTTTGTTAAAACATGATATCAAGACTCCCTTATTTGATTCAATTTATTTGATTTATAGCGAGCGCAGCGAACGTCGAGAAGCGACGATCGTAACTGCGAGCTCTAACGACAACGCCTGGGCGAAGAGAAAATTCGGGCTACTGCACATTCATTCCATAGAATTTTTTCCGCAGTAATTTTACCCACAATGCATCGCTTCGTGCATAAACGTTAAAGCAACGTTCTCGCGAGAAAAACGACAAAAGTTAAATGAATAATAAACTTGCCTTGATTTAAGGAATTTATCTGTTCATTACAGAAAAATATTCATAAACTGATTTAAATCAGCTCTGTTCAGGCTTTGGTTTGGTAAAGCAACAATGAAAACGACGTCATGTGACGTCAGAGTCCTATACGCACCAAATATCACGTGTGGTTTGACGAATTCGATCTAAATGCAAACTGGTCAAGTTTCTGCGCTCGCCCTAACGGTCGCACCGTCAACATATTATATCATCAAATAGATATAGATGAAAGTCTTTTGACCCCTTTAACCCCTTCTTTTGGAGGGTCAGTCCATTTTTCTTTATATAAACTGATAAAGCTCGTGATTCCAAATACATTTTCAAACATCTTTTATTCAATACTGCTTATCAAAATATTTCTCCCTATGGAGGTAGAAAAAATAAAAGAATTAGCATATTTGCCCCTTGTGGCCCTTAATTAGGTAACATATGATCATAATTTCACAATATGAGGTTACAGATATTACTGAAAATCTGGAAATTTTTACGTCGATTTTATTTTGCGAATTCGGGTCAAAATGGTGTTGAATAATTTTTGCGTTTCAAAATTTTGCGAATTACCACTCTTTGTTTACATTTTCTTATTGGTTATTTATTTTTGAGAAAAATATTTTTGCGAATGCATTGAACTCGCAAATCTGCTAAATAATTATCAACAGCAAAAATTTCCAGATTTACGGTAATGATGAACCTTTTTTTTTGCAGGGACAGCCCTTTTTCCCTCATATCAAAATATAAGGCCTGTGATTTTAAAGATTTTTTAACCAACAACTATTTGGAATTTTATTTTCGTTTCCGAGCTATATAGATTAAGAATATTTAGGGGCCTTTACTTTAAGTCCTTAATGGGATCGTTTAGGAAAAATTGAATGGTTGTATATGATTAACAATACGATTCTTAACGTCTTTTATTCAATACTTCTTATCAAAATATTTCTCCCTTTGGAGATATAAAGAATCAAAGATTTAGCATTTTGGCAGCTTATGGCCCCTAATTTCGTAATATATGAAAATTATTTAAAAAATATATTGTTGAAGATTGTAAAGATAAACATTTTTGCATCAGTGATTTATAACAAAATATTTATAGTGAACGAATTATAGATGAAAGTGTACTGGACTCTCTAGGCACCTTACTACAGGGACAGCCCATTTTTATTCATATCAGATGAGAGATCTCGCATCTTTGAATAACTTTTCTTCTGTTTGTCTTAACCAAATGTTTACAGATAAGAAGATATAATAGAAAAGTTGTTAAATTTTGTGAGATATTTTTGAGTCATTGTCAAAAACCAAGCTAGCTTGATGCCTTTTCGGCTAAAAAGAGATAGGCTCAAAATGGCACTTCTACAAGCCATCATCTATCTACACTAAAAATCTGAACTGCATATCTCAAGTCGTTTAGGTTGAGTTAACCGTACAGGCAACCCCTTTGAAGATAAGAAAATCGTCCATATCTTACGACCGGATGTGACGATCTCAATACAAAAAGTTTCCAATAAGCTTCAGACCAATATCTATTAGATCTGAAAGTTTAATGAAAATCCATCGAGCAGTTTCCGATAACTTGCGTCCACAAAACCGGTAAGAATATAGAAAATTATAAGAAGAGGGAAAAAAGAAACAGGACGAAAACAATAAGGTATTTCGTTGGAAACGAAGGACCTTAAAAATAAAAAAACTTAAATAGTGTAAAACAAAAATTATTTTATTTCAACAATACATGTATGTGTTGTGAAAAAGACCCTCCCTTCTTCCAAAACACGCATAATTACTAAATAAATAGATATTTGCTGATAGAGTCTGAAAAAATAACAGTAATCAGGTTTTGAGTACTTAACCCTAATTTCATAAATGATTATTTCTTTCAAAGTGTTAATATACACATGTAATGCAACTGTAACATCAGATATCGAATTCTGGTAGGTCACATATGACATATACATGTACGATGTTTTACTCGCGGCGCAAGTGAAAAGTTAGAGACATGATAAACTGTAAAATTATTTTAGCTTAAGCCTGAACTATTTGCTATTAAAAATTTCCTTCGTAATTATCGTGAATTTCGATAAAAAAAAAATGCATGTGTCCATCGATGTCTAGAAGATGATTGATAGTGCAAGCCAAACAAATAAGAGTAAATTAACAACTAGAGCGAGCTAAGCAATAGAAACTGAAAACGGTAAATAGTTTTGAGGTTAAATTAAGAAGTTTAATTGATTTTTTTAAGAGAAAAATAATTTATCGTACTGACAACGTTTACTTTACTGTGGCGCTAATATTTTGACTGTTGTGGAACTATGGCGCAGATTTTTAGAAAAAAGGCTATATATAGCCATAGGCTTTTGCTGCTAGTCTTCGCTATGAATAAACAACATGTAAAAACACGGGGACCCTAGCGGAGAGTTTTGCAGAGTCAAATAACGAAAGAAGACTTGTTACAATGTTGGAAAATAACATGTACATAGTTAAAAATACTTTCAAGTTATTTCAAAGACATTTCTTTGATGGACACAAAGCCATATGCTATTTTAGAAAAACAAATAGATATATTTTAAGAATAGGAGAGAAAAGATCACGGAATCTCAGCCATTTATTAAGAGGATTGTTATTAGGGCATATACGATACCATAAAATTTGCTAAATTTTTTACCATTCCTTTTTTAAAATATATAAGACTTTGCCTGTTTATCCCCGATACTAAAACGACTTAGTGGATAATAATGTGTAAAGGATATAATAACAAAGACTATAACGAACAACGTTACACATACATTTCATTCTTATTTAGAAACTGTATCGTGCCTCTGATAATTTTTACCTTTTAAAAAAGGTACTCAAATACATGTGTATGAAATGCTATTAGAGATAGGATTGATACAATTTTATCGGGCTGAATTTAGGTCAATTTCTGCGGTGTTCACAAAGTTATGTATTGTACAATAACTTAATATTAATAATGATGTCATTAATCAATAAGTAATGAAGTTTTAATAAAATAGCATAATTGCAAACCACGGCCAAAATGCACGATCATCTCCCTTTCTGGAGAGAGCTACATATACAGATTCCGATGACTTGAGATGACAGAAAAATTGAGGCAGAAAAATATTTTGTTATTTTGTTTTTTTCTCCCTCTCTTTTTTTTGAGCAGTATACATGTAGGAGGGTGCTCGTTAGTAACGTGGACAAAGTGTTTTTCTTGAAAAAAAAATGGGCGCCGAATGATGAACTTTTTAGCAAGTATTTATATATAATATTTTAGTGTATTTGAATTCTTTTGAAAAAAATATAGACAGATATTGATATTCTATTAACATGCTTTAATGTACATACATACGATATCAATCCCACCGCTATTTTTTTTTTAAATAATAAGCGAGTACTATATCGAAATGAAAGTACATGTATTAAATAGATTTTGGTAAACATTATCCTATTTTTATATTCACTATATTTTGTGTCGTCTATTGGAAATATTTAAGGGCATTTCCTTAATATTTGGTACTTTACCAAGCACCCGAAATAGGAAATGGTAATCATGACATGCATAATATGGCGACGTTCAATGACGTTACGGGGCACATGAAAGCAGCTCATTTTTTCTTATCTTTTGTGTACAAGGGATGAGCGAAATCGTTTTTTTTTTTAACTCAAATCAATGGGTAAAACAAACAACTAAAGGAATAACGAAAACGCTGTCATTGTTGACAGCAAATATATAAGCTATATAACCTATTTAGATGAATGATAGCAAAAATATTTTCCATAACTTTAGGTCCGTGACTCCTGAGCTAAAAAGGTCCATCTTTACGTTGCAGATTCAACTTCAACTGCGGGCCATGTCCTTTATTCAGAATCTGTATCGCAGTAATTGCTAGCCAGTAAAATATCCCTCGCTGCTCAAACTTTATTCTAAAAAAAAACCGTTAAACAAACAAAATCATTCATACCACCGTCTTTCAGTTCTCACAGTACTTTGATTCAACTGTTGCGCTAAGGAGTTAAACTGTGGAAGGGCCACAAAATTAAACGATCCATGGAGAACCCTGCACACACACAAACAGAGAGAGATAGAGAGAGAAAGAGAGAGAGAGAAAGGTTTCCTTTATTTCGAAATTGATTTAAGGTTGTATCATTAAACTTTATTGCAGATCCAAAAGTAGCAAGAAAGATAGGTATAACATTATACTATTTATTAGTTTAAAAAGCCAATATAATAACATTAACGTTTGAAATTAAACTTAATTTTTTTCATCCCGTTATTTTTGAAAATTCCATTGTCAAATGTTGCAGATTAAGGTTAAAATGAGCGACTTTTTTTAGTCTTTAAGCTTTTTTCGGGGGCTAGCAATGATAATTCTTATATTCAGATGGGACTTTAAATCAAAACATGTTTTTTTCTCATTGCCATAGGTAGACCTAATTATCTGCTATTTTTTTTACATTTTAGAAATTACCCAGAAAATGTTAATAAAACATAACGAAAATATGACACCATTTTTTGTGAAAACTCGTGCGTATAACAAGGCAAAGGAACTTTTAGAGGCTAAGAGGTACATCATTATCAAGGGAAACCCTGGAACTGGAAAAACAACAATAGCCAAGATGTTAATGAAAGAATTGATGGAGGAAGGCAAATCAGCTCTTCAACTTCAAAAATTCACAGATCTGTATGAAAGCGTATCACCAGGTGATGGTACAGTAGTATTAATTGATAATGTGTTTGGAGAATTTTCTTTTTCCAGCGGTGATATTAAAGACTTGTCAGCAACAGCTGAATTGGTAACAATTTTAATTGAAAATGTAACAGATTGCAAATCAAACAATTTGATATTTACAATTAGAAATGATATATACAATGAATACGTAGGTATGGTACACAATGATACTTTTTTTGTGTCGTCAATGGTTGATATATCAGATAAAACATATGCTTTACAAGAGGCAGAAATCCTCCAGTTAGCTGATAAATATGATTTAAAAAATACCATAGAAAAGCAGGATCTTCTCCGCAAGGTTCACGAAATGCCTATATGGATAGGATTTCCGCAATGTTGTAAATTAGCCAAAAGCAATGCTGTTATAAAACAAAAAATATCTGACTTTTTACTAGATCCTAAGATGTTTTTGAGAGAATATTTCAAAATTCTTATAAAAACCCAAACTTCAAAATCAGCTGTTCTCGCCTATCTTCTTCTAAGTGGTGGGAGAGTGGAATTCGA